CGAAAAAATCTATCAAAGATAGAAGAAGAGCAAATAAAAGCTTATTTTGAAAAACAATCAGAATCTGATCAAGAGATATTTTCGAAGTTTTTAACAAGCACAACTAAACCGCGAAGACCTTTAATACCTGGTATGGATCCACAATACGATATTGACGAAGAAACAGATGATACACATGATGAAAATGAAGAACGCGAACTACTACCATTGGATCTTACATATTTCAATGATACAAACAATCCAGAAGGGATATTATTTAATGTGGATGATTTGCGTTCGTATTTGGAAGGACGAGGTAATCTAACAGAAGCTCAACAAGCACAAATTGAAGCTTATCTAGCAAGACAATCATCATCAAATCAAAGTATCTTTTCGAAGTATTCCAAAACAACAAGGCGACCATCTAAAATATTTATATCAGATGATAATACATATGATGATGATGATGATCTAAGTCAAGAAATAGATTTGGAAGATGTTCTAAACAGAATACCAATAATAGACTCGAAATACTTTAACTTTTCAACGGATTCAGAAAAAATATTAATTTCGAAAGATGATTTGCGAGCTTATTTACAAGGCCGAACGAATCTATCAAAAAGTCAAGAAGTAGGAATTCAAACTTATTTAACGAAACATACATCAGTAGGTAACGACACATTATTTATATTCAATGCAACCCTAACCCCTGCACATCGTTTACGACTATGGTCACAACTTTTCCCATCACCTTCTTATTTGAGCACTAGATCACCAAAATTTACACGATTATCGTCACGAAAAGTTGTTTCAGAAAAGAACAGAAGAACAACAATGTCACTTAATTCGAACTTCAACTCGACTGATTCTTCGGCATTTACTAGCACAAGGAAGTCACCGCATAAATTTTCATCGAAGGAAACAATGGACGGAGCTAGTACATTATACACAGCTAAACAAAAATTAATTACTACTACTTCTGGTGACATATTTTGGTCTTCTTCATTAAGAACACATCGTTCACGTTCTAGATCAACTACTTCTTCTGGATCCTTGGATACTAGTAGAACACAATCATCCAGAACTATATCTGATCAATACACTTCTAAACCATCAAAAGATCGTATTGAGTCATCGCCATCATCTTCCTATAGAAAGTCTAGTGAAATACCGTTTAATAATGATAAAACGATATCCACAATTGTTACTTCTACATTTAATCCTCATGGTTCGTCAGCAAGAATATCAGAGAAAACTTCAACAGGTTCTATTATAACCAGTACTGACAAACATAATCTTGGAATCTCTGACTATCGATCATGGGAAGTAAATGACAAACAACGAATATCATCAACTGTATCACCATGGTTTACCGATAAATATCATGATGGTTTTAATTTTGATCGATCTTCATTCCGTTCATCAACAATGTATCCATATTTTTATGACGCAAAAACTTCATCAACATTTAAACAATCATTTTTTGACCTATATGATCCATTATCAACAACACCAGAACGTCGATATAGAACTCGAAAACAAAAAGTCATCCGTTGGCGAACTCTACAATCATCTGCTAGTTCTCCTTTATTGCCTGTAACACTTTCAACTTCAATTCACGGTATGTCATTTTTTTTTAAATATAATATCTCCTTACTTTTATATCATTCAGATGATAAATTAACAACATCTAATCCATTATCTACTTGGCATTCAGAACGAACTCCTCCTGAACAACAACAAACAATTGTTATTAAACCACCAATAACTAAAAATGATTCAAATATATTTTTCTCTAATGATTATCTCAATCAAATATTTCAAAATCTTTCAGCTTTAACTAATTCTTCTGATGATAAATTTATTTATTTAAATTTAATTGATCATCCACCATCATCATGGAATTTATCAATAAAATCTAATGAAAGTATTACACTTGATATTGCATTACCATTATCAACTAATTCAACTTCAAGAACAAATTTAACATTTGGAAATATTGAAGCTAATCGTTTTTCAACAAATATTATTGGTAAACCAATTAATTTACATGTCGATCGTGTTCATACCAAAGAATTTCTATTAAAAATGAATAATACTAATGATGATGATGATGATGATATGAAATCAAATAATCATCAAAGTCAACAATTATCTGATGTTATTATTGGTCATGTTAAAAGTGAAAAATTTCAATTAAATTTTACTAAATCTGATAAAATGCATGTATATGTATATCAAGTTGATTCAGCAACAGCTGAACTTTATTTTGATAGTAGTTTTTGTACAAATGATAGCAGTTTAGAAATAAATTTAAATCTTTCAGAAAATGGTAAAACAAAATTTTCATGTTTTTATTATTCTTATAAATTGTTTTTTTTTGTTTATTTTTTAGGAACAATTCGTTATGGTAATCGAACACCTATTCATATTGGACCAGTTTTTACTCGAGTACATATGCTTAAACATTCATGTGAACGTAATCAACCATTATTATTATATTTTGATATATGTCAACGACAAAATCCATGTACAAATAATGGTACATGTGTATCTATTATACCAAATTATAATGATACATCTTATACTTCAAGTGAAACTGGAGATATTGATTATAAATGTAATTGTCCATTACATACATCAGGCGATCATTGTCAATATTTACAATATCCATTTGGATTTTGTTTAAATGGTGGAACAGTTTATCGTACTTATGATATATATAATAAATCAATTGAAAAATGTCTTTGCCCAATAGCTTTTTATGGTGATTATTGTGAAGAAAATGTTGACAATTGTATTGGAATTAGTTGTTCAAATCATGGAATATGTGAAGATGGTATTGATGCATATCAATGTTCATGTTATGATGGATTTTATGGTTCACATTGTGAACGAAAGAATGTACAAACTGTTATATTACAAGCAGCAAGTCGTTCATTTGGTATTATTGCAATTTTATTAATATTTGCTATAGCTGGTTTAGTTATAGCTAGTGATATTCATACATATATAACAAGAAAACATGAAAGAAGTATTATATTAAACAAACTTCCACGTGTTACATCAGAAATATTTGAAAATTCTGTACTATTACTTGGATTTGGTGATGCTCCTATTGAAATGAATGATTTAGCAACTAATCCAATAGTACAAAAACGAGATAAACCTAAAAGTCGACAAATAAAAAGAACAGCACGTAATCGAAAACCACCAAATAGTCATAGATACATTGCAAGAAGAAGACGATTAGTAACATTACCCAAATCATCATCAGGACGTTAATTATTTATCAGTCACTTTTAAAAATCTTATCTTTTCTTCTTGTTTTGTTTGCTTTTTTTTCTTTCTTTTGCTTTTGTTTGATATCTATATTTGATAATAATAACAATGTCTTATAATTATTTCAAAATTCAACATAAAAAAACACATTCTCATACTGTTCAAACGTTTTGAATATACAGAGTAATTATCATTTAACAATGAAAAATTTCCTTAGTCATTCAGAAAATATTTATCTTTTCTGCATATATCTATATAATCGAACAACAGTTGCTGGTAAATAATAATCCTTCAAATATGCAATAACAAAACAAACTTTACTGTATCACATAACATGGCAAAGCATGTAGATAATTTGTCGTATATCAACAAATTATAGTATTACAATTTCCTCAGATCACAATAGAAGTAAAAGACTATGATATAACATAAATTAAGAAAATCTTGATAAAAACTAGAATAGATTAACAACGAGGGGGAAACAACAGAGATTTCACCCTGAAGTCTAATGAAGTCTCATGAAGTCTTCTAGAGTTTCTATCCATGCATGTATTCCACGAGGAGACGGAGGATAAACAACAGAGATTTCATGCGTGAAGTATCATGAAGTCTTTTGAAGTTTTGGAAGTCTATTGAAGTCTTTGTAGTCTATTGAAGTCTTTGAAGTCTACTGAAGTTTTCAAAGTCTTGCGAAGTCTTTCGAAAAACTGAAGTCTCGCTTGTTGAAGTCTTGCGAAGTCTTTCGAAGTCTTTGAAGTCCTGAAGTCCCCTGTTTCCTCCCTAGATTAACAACGAACGATTACTGAAATAATTAACAATATTTTATCATTTTAGTCAGTATGCAGAATGTATATTAACGGTTCATTTTCACTTATGTGATAAGGAGAGAATATTATCATTTTTGGATTATATCATCTTTTATGATCATATGCAATCCATACTTGAATAGTATGAGATTAAATATAAATAATTTTCCATGATTTAATATCACGGTGTTAAGTATTTAAATATTAAAACACTAGAAGTGTGACAATTTCATTTAAAAGATTAAATAAATTGATTTAATCTGTATATATGATATTATCTAAAGTCATTGTACTGATTTACAAAATGATAACAGTAATCAATCAGTGTTAATCTCGACACAATTCTTCAAAAGAGATGAAATAAATTTGAGTAAGAAAGTAATTCTATAATCTATTATTCATACAAAATAACATCAATCATTACCTACAAGCTATTAAATATTATGTAAAATCATTTACTCTGCGTAGTAAAGAAAAATATAAATTTATAGTTCATTTTAAACTTATTATATACATCTATTCATTGTTAAAATTGTCCTTCTTTCAATCATAGAAAATTATTGGTTTATAGAATTTATCATAAATATAGTCATTCTACATATATATGTTCAATAAGAAAAGAAATGTATGTTAAAATGCTTCTAGTTCACTCATTTATCATGTCGATTGAACATGTAATAGCTTTGTTCGCGTGTCCATACGTTTACTCATAATTCATTGTTCAGACAGTCAATCAGCTACACTCGATTTCGCTTTTCACTAATGACTAATAGTTATGTTCTTCGGTACATTACTGTGAATAAAACAGACATACACACACACACACACACACAGAAAAAGAACAAAGAATGATAATATGAAAAACCAATTCGTACATAAATGACAAAAAAAAGAGAGGAAAAACTCGTTTATATATATATATACAATAAATATTTACAAGCAACGACTTATTTCTTGAGTAGTAACACAATTTTGGCATTGAACATAACAACACCATTGAAAACGACAATTACATTTATCACGTACAGTCACTATTTGAGATTGATAACCACGATTACAACAAAGTAAATCACAACCATCAATTGCACGTGAACTTCGATTACATACACGTCCTATTGTACCAAATGAACCTGTATTCAAATTAATTTCACAATAATTAGGACTTGAATTATAATAAATTAAATCATTTTTATATGTTGTTGCTGTTGTTGTTGTTTGTTTAGTCATATGATATGGAATATTCCGTGGTATAAAACGTAATTTTTTATCAAATAAACTTCGTTGTAAACGTACTTCAATTGATTCATCATAGTATTCTTTAAGTTGTTTCGCTATTTGTGTAAATGAATGAAGTGAACGCCAACATGTTTTAAATTCACAAGATCCTGATACTCCATGACATTTACATTGACGATCAACAGACGCAAGAATTGTCTAATGAAAAAAACAAACCAATAAAATTTTACAAATAAAAAGCAATTTTTGTTTTTACTCGAATTCCAACTTGATTATTATGAACATTTAATAAACTTGTTCGATTTTTTGTTATACGTTCTCTAAGATTAACAAATTTTCTTGCTAATTCCGAACCAAATAAAACATTATCAGAACATCCAGCCCATCGAATTGAACTATTACTCGTTTTTTCTTTCATTGACATATCACATCCACATGAACTAAGTCTTCCCGTACTACATGCTTTTGTTATTGTATAAGCAATACCAGCCGATGTCAACGCATGTATATATGCTGATTCTTTTGTTCCTACATAATTTAAAAGAAAAAAATTTTTTTTTTCATTTTCTTAAAAAAATAACTAAACCTGAATCAAGAATATTTCCAACTAAAGATTTATCTTGAAATAAAGTACAATTCCAATGACGATTTTTAAATTGTAATTTACATTCTTCCAATGCTAAATTAGCTCCAAAACGTACAAATGGCATAATAGCTTCATTTCTTTGACAAAAACGTATTTGTCTATAACTAAGACCATATTTCATATGACAAAGACCTTGTGTAGCAAATGATATATCAGATACTTGAATAATTGAACTAAAAAATAAAAATAAAAAAACAAATTTTTCATTTATTCACATCTGTTCACTTGACCTTCACGAAAAAATTTTATGACATATTTGTCCAAGTTTAAATTTTTATGATCAATAAACATTTATATTATTTTCGAATGTAAATAAAAGATATATTTGAAATGATAACCACATGCTGTTTATATGTTTGTTTTACCCACATGGGGAGAAAGATCATTGATCTTTTATATGATATATATATGTATGTATGTATTCAAACGGCTTGTGAACGTGCTTTAATGTTTCCTATTCTTCTTTAATATGCATAAGTAAAGAGAATGATAAAAATATCAAATAATGAGTTATGTGCATGTCAAAATGCATACAGATGATTTTTGTTACGTTCATTACGTCATTCGTGATCATCATCATTTCCTCTCATTTATATTCTCACAAGACAAATTAAATTATACGTATATATCTAAGGTTTTTCTTTTTTTTAAATAAACAAAGACAAAGTTAATGATCCATAGCGCTTATGATAAAGTATTGGATAAGAAAAAAATTTTTTTTTTATTATACTTACAGCCATTGTTCACTTGAATTGATTAAAATAACGAAAAGTAAAAGTGATATCTTCATTGTGTTCTGATTAAAATGAATATGTCAATGTAAATACATAGTGTTTGAATGATTTATATATATTAATCAATATAATATATTGTTGTAAATCTTCTCATTGACTTGATAAGATCTGATTCGAGGATAAGATAGGATAGACAACAAGTATAAGATGATTCTTCTGTATCAATTGCGTATTTCGAAAATGAAGGTGTTGATGACGATGAGAATATCAATGTTCATATAAAAGAAAAAGAGAGAAGAAATCAATAGCGATTGGTTATATATAAATATGAACATAGAAAGAGAGAGAGAGAAAGAGAAAAGAGAAAATTATTCATTTTTCTTTCGCTCTCTTTCTTTGTTGGTGAGAATTTGCAAGTATTTCTAACACTTTGATGGCAAGTCTCTTTTCGCTTTCTGTATCACACACACACTATACTGATTTATGTGCACAGTTGAGTCAATTAGTGTCACATTCATGAGATTGACCAACTGCTATATTACTAATGTGTCTACTACTCGACAATTGCGATTTATTGCAATGTTATTTTTCTTTTTTCCTATCTTGCCTGATGTCGTATCATCGATCAAATAAATACAAATAATCTTAAGATTAATTTTAATAACAATGATATACATAAGTTCATTAAAAAGAAAGAAAAATGATATAAGAACAGAAGGAAAACATATAAAAAATAATTTAATTGGATTCGATCAATTCTGTTAAATGAAGCATAGAAAGATCAAATCGAGAGAATTTTCTCGGAATTCGAATGATGAAGAATCCAATCAGATTGTGTCTCACAAGATCCGATGAAACATCCAAAGTACTATATCAACAATTATGTCATTCGTTCATATGAAACGTTATATTTATGTCAAATATTGCCATCTATATGAAATTTTCTCTAGATAGCGGTCTCTATTGTAAAATATTTTTCAGGTATTTTAGGTCTATAAAAAGAAAACTGTGAAACGAAGTATTGCTCTACTGTTGTGCAATGACATTTGTCGTTCTGCTTTTTCGGGTAGTATATATATGAATGTGTTTTCAACATAAGATTCAACCACAAAACAATTTTCTATTGTTATTATAAACCACAGATCGGTAAGAATTTTACTATTGAAAATTTTGTTTAATTTGTTTTTCAAATATATAATAGAATCGATATGGACACAAGCACGTCATCATCGTCTGATGACGAAAGTATTGTTGTAAACAAAAAAACATCAAAAAAAGTTGTTATTAAAGTTAGTATATTTGGAAAATTTTCAAATTAATTTAAATGATTTTTATTTAGAGACCTAAAAAAGTCGAAAAAAAGAAGAACGTATCTATTAAATCAAAATCCAAGAAACAAACTCGATCAAAAAATACCAGTATTCGTCAGAAATCACAAGTTACTAAGGGATTAGATGGAACATATTGGAATGTAAGTTAACAAGTTGTTTTGTTTAGTATACCCATCTGTTTTAACATCTTAGCTTACTCCACCAAGTAACAGTATTACAAAACCTGTAATTAATTATTCTAAACTCAATGGAGATGATAGTTCATCTGAAGATTCGATAAGTACAGTATCGAAAAATTCATCATCCGATGATGATGATGATATTTTATATGAAAATGAAACATTTGTTACTTGTCGAAATTCATCCGATGGATTTTATCTTTGTCAAATTTTACAAGATGTTTACAAGCATACAAAAAAGATTTCTATTCGTTGGTGTTCTGTAATTGGAGAAAAGGGTGACGATACAGAAATTAGTGTACGTACACGTTTTAATTTAACTTATATGGATAAACTTGATCCATGTACAATTTTATATGTTATACCAAATATTATTCATCATGAAGATGATACATTAGCATTAAAAAAACAAGATATTGTTGAAACTAAACGTCTACTACAAAAATCTATTCATGGGGAATCATTGTCTTCAGATGATATGATGGATTTATCAACTGAACATTCAGTTTCTAAAAAGAAATCAGAAAAACATATACATTTCAAATCAAATAGTGAAGAAAGTGGTTCTTCAGCTTCATCAACAGAATCTGTCCCGACAAATAAAAAACGTAAAATCCGATCAAATACTAAGAAATCTCGTAAACAACCACCAAAAAAACGAGTACGTAAAACACCAGCTAAACGAACAGCAGATGCTTCTGAATCATCCGATAATGATGAAAATGAAGATGATACACCCAAGAAAAAGAAAAGTATATTTTCTGTTTCGAAAAAATACATAAATATCAATTCATTTTTTTAGCTAAAAAACCTGTTCGAGTACGAAAAACACAATTATTTAAAGTACATAGTAATAGTACACTTGAAGAAAATTCAGCAGTCAAAGTCTATGATAAAGAACCATTTTTCGAAGACAAGTACAAACGTTTCTCTTTTGTTTCTTATAATATATAAGAAAATGATTTTATTTTAGTTTATCTGTACCATTTATTTCATCATTTGTTCAAAGTAAATTAGCTATACGTGCAGTACTTTTAGATGATACAAAACTTTTAAAAAGTCTTATTGATGATGTTGATCATGTTTGTTCGGTAAGCAAAAAAAGCTAATATATAAATAAAAATATCTTGTATTTTATAGGTACATGTAAATCGAGGTCTTTATAATGATTTAACACCACTTCATTATGCAATTAAAAATAATAATATTGAAATGGTTAAGATTTTACTTGATGATATTAAGACACCGAAAAAAAATCGATGTCCTTTTCCAACTGTTTCAATGGTAACACAAAGTACTGGAAGGTAAAGAAAAATAATTAATTTTTGTTCTCGAAAGTTTTATTCCTTTGTAACTAGTGCTAATGTTCATACATTTGGCTTTCGTACAGCGCAATTAATGGCAAGTCGAGGAGCTAAAGAAGGCAATAATGCATTAGATAAAGTAAATTTTCTGTTTATTAAAATCAAATATTTCATTTTTGTTTTGTTTTTTAGGAAAGAATGACATCTCAACGATTCGAAAATGATATTGAATTAATACAATATGCTATGAAAAATAATTGTTCACGTGAAATATATGAATTACTTTTTAAATTATTTAAAAATACAGTTAGAATTCATATTTAGTATTACGAAATATTTTCTATTCATTTTTTTCTAGCATGGTGATCAGAGAATTTATGAAAGTATTCATAAAATAATTGCAGCTGGTCATCGTAAATTAGCTGCAAGTATTATTCATGACATCAAAGATAATACATTTCATGGTTTCAATCAACTTCATTATGCTGTTCTATTTAATGATAATGAAGATTTAACAATTAATCGTGCAGCAAGTGTTTTAAAGAAAACACAAGCTAATTTTATGGTAATTTTGTTTATTCCCTTTCTCGTAGAGAAGAGTCCAGTAAGAATAAATTGTCTGCTTGCTTGTGTCTCCGCAGGGTCAAAAAAACATCGAAAATCGATTTTTCAAAAGAAACATTTCGATGCGGGGAGTTCGAATTTGAGGTCTGTTGGGTGGCCATAGTGAGTGGGGCAAAGGTCAAAAAAACATCGAAAACCTTTTTTCCAGTAAATGCGTAGTGGATGCATTTCTACGAGAAAGAGCTAAGCGAGTCGTTGGAGCGCTACTCATTAAAATATATATATTTATTTAGATAACACCAATACATTGTGCAGCAATTAATCCGAATGCAAAATATTTAAAACAATTATTAAATACAATGCCTGAATATAATATTCTTGATAAATATGAACGAAGACCAATACATTTTGCTGCTGCATGTGAAGGATCAGATCCACTTGAATATTTGATATCAAAGTAAATAAAATTTCGAAAATAAAACTAATCTTTTTTTTGTCTTTATAGACAAGTTACGTTTAATGATGTTGATCGTGGTGGAAATTCTCCATTACATATTGCTGCTATGAATGGTCGTTCAATAAATGCTGAATTATTATTACGTACAGCAAAAGAAAAATCTACATTAAATGAAACTGATGATGATGAAGTTATTCATAACAAATTTGGTTTTGCTTCAATAAATCGTATGAATAAATCACGTTTTTATCCATTACATTTAGCTGTTCTTAACAATCATCTAGTATGTCACTGAATTTAATTCGCATAAAAACAAAAAAAAAATTTATTTTATTTTTTTTTAGGATGTTGTTAAAGTTTTAGTTGATTATGAGGCTGATATTGATGCTATAACAAAAGCATCCATAAAAATAACACCATTAATGTTAGCTTGTCAAAAAGGTTATTTCGATATAGTCAAATATTTGATTAGTAAAGGTGCAAAAATTGAATTTCGTGATCGTTTTCAACGAACACCACTTATACATGCATGTATGTGTGGCAATGCCGATATTGTTTCATATTTACTTCATTTGGGTGCGAATGCAAATGTATTTGATTCATCATTAAATACGGCATTACATTATGCAATTGCATATGGATGGTATTTTTGTGTACGAATCTTACTTGAAGCCGGAGCAAATATAAATTGTGTTAATTCATGGCAAACAACTTGTTTAGCAACTGGATTTTTAAAAGGACATTATGGTCTTTGTGATTATCTTCTTACAGATCATAATGCTGATATTAATTTTCGTACGGAAGATGGTTTAACATTAGTTATGTTAACTGTTAATCTTCAAATATCATCATCAGTTGTCCAACAACTTGAATATGTTGTTAAGAAACATAAAGCAGATTGTACAACTGTTGACGCTAATGGAAATAATGCAGTAAATTTTATTGAATTATATGTTTTAGTTTTTGTTTATATCTTTTTATTTTAGTTTCATTATTTAGCTGGAAATCTATCCGATCAAAATCAACAAAATATGGTTAGTTGAATATGATTTGGTTAATCTTGTATTTTAGTTTTGCTTTATAGACTAATGATATGAAGGATCTTCTTCGTGATAATTATTTAAAAATATCTGAAATTCTTTATGATCATAATTGTGATCCGAATAAAATGAATAATAAATCTCAATCACCATTAATGATTGCTCTTCAAATGGGAAATTTTATTCTTGTTGATTATTTAGTTGATAAAGCGAAAGTTAATATTAATTCTGATATAAGTCATGATGGTAAAACATTATTACATTATTTTGCTCAAAAATGTGAGAAATATAATCTGATACAAATTTTACTTAAATTAGTAAGTTATTTTTATATAGAAATAATATTATTAATTTTATTTTCGTAGCCAATTACTGATGAAATTAAAACTATGGGTCAGATATTTGATAATAGTGGTCGAACACCGTTGCATTATTGTGCATCGAAATTTAATCGATTTTGTGAAAAACATAAAGTAAATATATAAATATATTTAGTTGGAAATAAATATGATTTATTTAGAAATCGAAAGGTACAGAACAATTGAAGAAAAAATATGAATCAATTACTCAAATGATTGTATATTGTCTTGAAGCAGCTAATTGTGATCCTAATTGTGAAATCAAATCAGTAGATGAAATCAAAATAGCAAATAAAGAAGAAACCGATGATGATGATAATGATGACGACGAAGAAGAAGAAGAACAAGCAAATAGTTCAAGTGAAGATTCTGAAGAAGACGAAGAGAATGAAGAGAATTCAAAAGATGATTCTCCTATAGATACTGAAAAATCTGATTTAAAACTTAAAGAAACCAGTATCTTTTCATTATTACGTACTGTTCCATTTATTGATAATACAACAACTCATCCATTAGAATTTTTTCTTAAAAAATCTAAAAATCTCAATGTATTACATCATAAAACTCATCGTACACCATTATTAGAAGCTATTCATCTTCGACAAATTCAAACAGCACAAATGTTAATTAATAATCCATTATGTGATATTAATTTATCAACATCAAATCTTTCTCATGAACGTCAACAAACACCATTAATATCAGCATGTATATTACAATTACTACCTGTTATCGATTGTTTATTAAAACAGAATCAATGTGATATTTCATCATCTGATTATAACAATAATCAAGCTATACATTATTTTTTACAAACATCAGATCGTACAAATGATTATATACATATATTAAATATATTTGTAACAAAACTAAAAAATACATCAAAAAATTCTTTAAATATTCAAGGAAAACATCAACGTACACCATTACATATTGCTGTTTATCATAACTTGGGTACAATTGATGCAATAACTAATATTGAAAAAATTTTAATTGATAATGGAAGTGATTTATTGATAAAAGATAATTTAGGTAATATACCATTACATAATGTTTTTCTAAATAAAAATATTTATGATGATCCTGTTGAATTATGTGTTTTAATTTTAAAATCAATGAAATATAAAAATATTGATATGAAAAATAATGAAGGAAATACGCCATTACATTTAGCTGTTGTAAGTTTTTGTTTAAAGAAAATTAAACGAGATAATACTTTTTTTTTGTTTTAAAGACTAAATGTTCAACAGTATGTGTTATGCTTTTACAACAACATAATGCGAATTTATTAGTTGAAAATAATTTATCAAATTCTATTATTGGTACTTGTATTGCATCATATCATTTAAATTTATTTATAACATTTCTTCAACAATCAAATGATATTGATCTTGGAAAATTACATAATCTATTAATTACGAATATATCATCGACAGATAATGAACAAAATAAATCTCAACCAAATAAAAAACAACAACCAATAATTAGTAAACAAAAGAAAGATGAAAAAAACCTTTGGAAATGGAATTTTTCTGAATTACAAAATCCTAAAGAATATGAACAATATTCATTAATCTATTTAATAATTGAACGTGATTGGCAAGGTGCATTATCATTAATTTTAAATGATATTGATCATTTTCATTTAACATACTTACAAATCATTGAAACAGCTATATTAAATAATAAACTCAATCTTGTTCTTCGTCTTTTATTACGTTTAAAAGATGAAATTAATTTCCTCGAAATCAATTCATCAAAACAAAATTTATTTCATTTAATTGCAAATATAAATGAATACAATGAAAATTTATTAAAACAAATTCTTTTATTTCTTAATCAATATGATTTTGATTGGAATACAAAAGATATCTATGGTTGTTATCCATTACATTATGCATGTATCAAACAAAATTATATTTTTATTGATTTTCTACGTGAAAAATATACAAGTACATTTGATTTATATCAAATAGATTCATTTAATAATACAGCTAATGGTTTATTATTTTGGTCATTAGGATCTAATAAAACATTTTCAAATGAAAAACTTCGTTCATTAATTCTATCCGGTAAACAATTAGATTGTTTATGTAATTATAATGATGAAATACTTTTAAATTCATTATCATTTGGTTATATTCATTCAATAAAAAACAATATATCTTATCCACCCATGATATCGAATAACAGACAAATATCACCATTAATTCATGCAATTATTCATAATAATATTGAATTAGTTAAATTTTTACTTGAACTCAATGCTGATGTGAATTTCTGTGATGAATTTAAACAAACACCACTTATGTATGCTGTTCGTCAGGTAAATTATTTTAATAAAACCTCTAAAGTCTCTCTCTGCTAAACGTATGGATGTACCGAGAGTTTCGATCAAATGGATTAGGGGTCAAAAAAACACCGGTTAAGTAAATGGATGAAAAATAAAGAAGAGGTAGAATTTACTAGATTGAGTTAAGGATCGAGAGGCTCGGGCTCGGTACATCCCTTGTTAAAAGGTTCTTCTAGAAAATCTTTAGCCTTCGTATTGTATATATTTGCCACAAAGATGGGAAACTCCAACTCCGGAGTTGACGCTTTTTTACTTGGAGTTGGAGTGGAGTTGGAGTTGCTTACCTCGGGAGTTGCCTATCTCTGATTTACCAACCATTCAAAGTCATATACTACTGATTAAAAGAAAAACTTTTATCTGCTTTTTTTCTTTATAGAACAATATTGATATAGTTAAATTGTTATTAAATAAAGATCATTGTCTTGAAAATAATCAAACATTACCACAAAAATCATTTACTCGTCGAGTACCTCGACGTCGAAATTTCTTTCTTGGGGTAACAACAATGGATTCGAATGAAATATCAAATAAGAATAAATCAACAACATTTGAATTAACATCATCAATTAATTTAAATGCGATTGATAATGATGGTCGTACATGTATTCATCATTTAATACATCCATGTACTGATTATACATATAGAAATAATATTGAAATACTTCAATTACTTCATTCATGTGGTGCATTATTAACAAAAACTGATCGTTTTGGTTTCACACCATTACAATATACTCAAAAAAATAATTCTCAACATTTATTTAATGAATTATCAAAATTAATATCTAACAAAACAAATTCAATTCAATCAAAAATCGAACCATTTATTGTTAATGATCCAAATAAAAATCTCTTAACAAAAACAGATTTTTATAATGATGCTCAACAACTAATTGATGAATATATCTTATCACATCCAGTAATAACATCGAATACAGCATATAATGTTGATAAATCATCTGGTATGAATTTAACCGGTGAAGTATTAATTGATACTGATAAAAATGAACCATATGATGTACGTCTTACAAAAATTGATGTTGGTTATGGTATCATGGGTTTATATAATTTTTATCGTATGCAAATAATCAAACATAAAAGTAAAAATAATTTATTTTTCTTGTTTACACATTGGGGACGTATTGGTGATGCTGAAGGTCAACATCAACTAACACCCTATTCAACAATCGATGAATGTCAAAAAGAATTTCAAAAAGTTTTTCGAGAAAAAACCGGAAATTTATGGAAAGATACAAATACATTTCAAGCCAAACCAAAAAAATATATGTTAATAGAATTAAATAAACGTAAACGAAATAAACATTCAAATGTACCTATTGATTT